GGCAAAGCGGCCGGTGCTGGCTGCGAGCTGCTTGTCCCTAGCTAGAACTGCTTCTCCCCCCTTTGCAGCAATACGCGCCGTCCGTCTTCGAGAAATATACTACCAGCGTTACGGTGGGCAAAAAGGAGGTCACCCTGAATTTGTACGACACCGCAGGTAAGGGTTTTTTTCACACACTTTCCGTTTTCCCGATCCCAAAACTGCGAGAGGCCGCTGGGATGGGACCGCGCCTGGGACGGAGCCCAAACCCAGCCCCCGGGTTTTCATAAATTCAGACAAATAAGCAGAAACTGCTTTTACCGGTGTAAAATGCTGCTCCTGTGAACGTGCCCGTATTTCTGTTCCAGCAGCTTTCGCTGTGTCAAACCAGACTGATACTTGGAAGACTGTAAAGCTGGACATATTTTCAAATTGCTTTTGTACTAGGATACTTTTAGCGTAATAACGCGGTTAAGACTGCTAGAGATTAAAGTACAAACGAAACAACAACCGTTAGCTGTTGCATGCATAAATGTGCCTTCCAGAAAAAAAGGGTCGCTTGTCTAATGGCAGTTCTAGCCATGGACTCGTTCATTATCTTAACAACCCAGTTTATTAAGAAAGTCACATCAAATAGCAAACATATCTGAAGGTATTAAAACCCAGTTCCCAGATGCAAAGCATAATACAGTCAACCAGGAAAATATTTTAATCTCCTGCCATGTGTGATTGAATAGTGAAGGAGAAAAAGTCTGGTTTGTGTTAAAAATAAAAAGGCCGTAGCAGTAAAAGTTATTTGAAAATGCTGGTAGCTTGTTCGGGTTCATTTCAGGAACTTGTGAAATGGTTTGTGTTCAACTTCATTCAAAGCTCCTAGACTCTGTTATCCAGCTGCGTTCCTAAACAAACCCTAAAATTGACACGTGCTCCGTTTCAGCTCAGTGTAAATCATCTGTTTCAGTTCAAGCCTGTGGAGATGTTCCAAATTTACACCAAGACAAATAAGAACCGAATGCAGTCTATATTTGTTTTTTAATAGTAATAAAACACACCTTCCTGCATACTGTACATGATATCTGAATAGATAATTTTAAAGGTTTTTAATCTAAAAGTGATTTTTATTGCTAATCTTTACTGCAGTATAGTAAGATCCTGAGCACCCAATTTGCCAATATATCTTCTTGTGTTGATGTTACTGTTCTTGAGTCCAGTGATTTGGATAATGTAGCTTCTACTGAATGGCAAGGCTTTTGTGTTTAAGTCTTAAGGGAAAAGAGAAGGGCTGAAATGTAGTGTGAGCAACCAAAGAGGGCTTTCCTTAATATAGTGTGTTGGCACAAAGAACTTGCCACAGTGAACTTGTTGGGTTTTTATGTTTGTTTGCTGTCAGTGTGAAATTTTTGCCTGTCACACAGTTCTTGATACTTGGCTGGCTCTCATTTAAAATCACCATGCTGCAGCTTCCAACATTTGCCTTTGGAGTCTCTTCCAGGCTTTAAGGAACACGGGCTGGATCTAGAGACGGCGGTAGGTAGGGCAGATTCAGTATTGCAGCACTAAACTCTTGCAAGCCTGACATAAGTGCCCAGCTCCTTGCGTCATGGAGGGAGTTCAGCTCTGTGCAAGACCTACAGCCACCAGCAGCCCAGGGAACGCTCGCTGAAGCGGGTGCTGGTGGCTTATCTTACCCTGTTTCCTTGTTCAGGCATGTAACTTTAGCAGAAAGTGTCTACCCTTCCACATTTAGTTCACAGCTATAAATACTGTCTTGGACCAAAGCACTGCCCCATTGAAGAAAAGAGCGGGGTGTATTTTGTGTCTCTAAGACACTTTGGGAAGTGGAGATGCCATTGTTGCCTAGTTGGCAGAGCTCTTTGCCATGAAAGAGCAATTGCTTTCCATCTCTCATCTGGAAACCTTGAAACCCAGCATGTTTCACCTCCCAAAACAGTGTCCTGGCCACCAGGCTACAAGTTGCCAGAGGCTGCTGACATTTGTCTCCTCCCTTCCTGTTAAATTTTTTTGCTTTGCATGAGACACATCAAGATTATCAGGTGCAAAGAAAGGGGGGGCATTGCCACCTTGGTTAAGGCATTTGCCTGGGAGGGGGAAAGACTTGAGTTTTGGTTCTGTTTCAAAGCTGCTTACATAGTTTTATGTTACAGATCTGTGTTATACTCTGTAATTCAAGCAGCTTTTCATCCTCTTTCTGAAGCTGGAAGTTATGCTAGAGGAAGAACTCACTTGAGCACACATTTTAATCCCATCCTGTTTTTAATAATACAAAACTGATTCGGGTTAGACTAGGGCCAAGAGTTGTGTCCTGTCCTCTAAGTTCAAATAGTGCAGCAAGAGAAGAGCAAGGGGAGTGTCCAGTTCAGGACACGAGAGAGCTCCTGTCCCTCTGCCACATGGATGCAGCATGAGAGACGCAGTTTTGGAATTGGTGTTTCACTATGTTGACTTGCTTCTGTCGTATCATGCAGCGGCAGCTCATGGAATTCCTCTCTCAGCTGGGTGATGATGCTCTGGGGTGGGTGTACAGCAGCAATTGCAGCTTAAAGAGGAGTCTAAACACACAACTTGCTACTGGAAGTCATATCAGTGCAGCTTATCAGCCATATTTTATGAATCATCTTCTGACTTTCTGACCTGCTTGAGTTGGTCTTGCTCTTCTTTAAAATCCTAAGACAGCTTTACGCTTGTGTTTTGCTTCTCAATCTGAAAGGTTCCCAAATCATGGAGATTATCATAAAATCATTTAAATGGGATCAAAAGGATGTAAAACCATTTCTGAGGTGAAGGACTTCAGCTAAGTGCCATGTAGCAGTGTAGGGGAGGAGAAGGCAAAGCTGTTCTAAAAAGTGTCACTGGATCTTCATGATGCACCCACTGCAGAAAGGACTTCGGTATTTTTAGGATCTTGCTAAGAGCAACACTAAATAGACCTGCATGTACTTCAGCGTCATGGGAAGGTAAAGGACAGGTTCAGCTCCGTGGGCTGTTTAAAGTTAGGATTCTTTGTATTGTCAAGTGGTGTGCAGCTTGAGACTTTCAGCTTGTCCTACTTACTGAAGGAGGACACAAAGTGCCTAAGAATCAAACATTTCAAGCTACAAAAGGTATTTTTTTTCTTGACAAGAATTTTGGTAACAAATGAAGTTAATGAGTTAGTCTAAAATATGCTAGAGTAACAATTTTTTGTGAGACTTTTGTACTATGCTACTCTATCTTCCTCATCAGAGACACCTCTTGCTGTTGCAGGAAGTTGGTGGTATACAAACGCAATGCGTGAAGGCTTTGTAATATCACTTGTCTCGTCTGCAAACAGGCTTTGCAGCTGCTTATTCAAGTAAAAGTTTCCATTTCTTGCTGTGCTCGATAGAGGCAACGGCATTGAGAGGTAAATTAACTCTGTAATTTTTTACATACTAAGGGAGCAGTGTTGATGCTTTAGCTGCAGTTCAGACACAGGGTTCAATTTCTGATGTTACTCAGTGCAGGACTTTCTCAGACCAAAGAAAAGAGCTCTGCTGGGCTGGGGAAGGCTGGGGAGGAAGTAATGCCTCATCATTGTGGGTGCTCGCTCTGACTAGCAGGAAGCACATACGAAGCCTCCAGCGGGGTTTTTCAGGTCTGTAATGACAGATGCACGGCAGTCTGAGGCCTTAAGAGACATTTTAAAAGCCGGTACATGCAAGAATAATTTTTCATAACTTTGAAAGGGAGGGCGTGCCTGAGGGAGACGAAAACCCACCAGCTTTTTAATTGAAGTGTGCCCCCCCCCCAAGTGTCCTCTTCTACTGGTTTTATTCCAGCCAAGGATGTCTGTTTCCCAATTTTTTTTAAACTAAGTAGTGAAAAAACGTAGCTGGCAAGCTAATAAACTATGGCATTCCCATGGAGCCTGCAGAATAACAAATCAAAGAGAATCGGGTGCATTTTTGTGTGCCCGTGAGGGCTCGCCATCGCACGGTTCCACGTCGATCCTAAACCACAAGTGTGGAGTATTACAGACAATACGTGGCCATACGTAGGAAGCGGTCAGCTGGTCTGGAGCGGGTGGCAGGATATTACATTCTTCCTTCCCCACTGGCGGGGATGTGGGGTGGGGGGGGGGGGCCTCGGG